TTACTGAAATATTGGTTAGGCTTTAGAATATTGAATGTTGAACATACCATTTTATGTACATTTTACATTTTATTTACAAGTCCTATTGTTATTCAGTCTTGATGAAAAGGATTTTACAATTCATCTAAAGAGGTCTCACAGCATGTATCAAAAATAATCTTATCCCATCTCAGCCTCCTCTGCCTGTTGATAATATCATGGTTGTGTTAAGTCTTGTTATTTGATGATTCAAATTAAGAAGTATGTTAAATAAGACTTTCACAGGGAGATAATTGAGAAAATTAAAATCACTCTATAATTCACAATCAAATATGCTGCAGTTTCTTTCTTTCCATAGTACGTTTTAAAGGATTACGGTATAAGAACCTCTTCAGGCCAACTGATTTTCTAGTGGCAATCAGTTTCATAAGGCCTTTTGTTATTTACCCATGGGTTGGACTATTAGTCCTAAAAAAGGTACATATCCCACTGTTAGAGCAGTGGGATATGCATGAGCTGCTTAGGTAACCATGCTGTTACTCAGCTTGCTTGGTAGGTAGTGGAGGAGACTTTAATGCAGTCTAGGGTCTAATCCAGAGTTTGAAAATGATTCAGCGTCTGACTCTTGATAGCAGGACTGTGTTTACATTGTGCTGCAGGACTTAAATCTGATTGTTTCTAGCTCTAAAAAGAATATGTGCAGGATGACGGAATGGAACTAGTTTTTTTCTAACATAGATGTTGCATGTAATCATAAACAAGCCTTAATAATTGAGCACTGAGTATTCATAAACAGCATTGTTACAGTATTTTAAGCTAACAAATGTCCACATTTGTACCAGTCTGGTTGCCCTATTACATTTGTATTCTGTTGAAATTCTGCTCATTGAATCGATTTACATTTCTGTGAATTTAATCCAATGCTGATCTAGAGTTGATATGCTGCAATGTGATTCACATTGTTTGTTACTGGGGAAGTAGGTAGAAAAGTTGAGCAGAGAGTGATGGGTCCCCTGTCATGTCCTCAGTTGCACAGACAGTTCATAACCGCTCACTGAGCCAGAAAAAATGCAGATTCAGTCCATTAGGGGATTCAGATTCCTATGGGATCAGTGAGCAGTTGGACATACTATGTCTTACTTTTTCACTTGCTTTCTCAGTGTCTCTTCCTGTATTTGCCTCTGTCTGGCTCCCTCTCTGTCTCCTTCATTCACTTACTCAGCACCCCCACTCAAATACATATTGAAACAGCATATAAAGGCATACAAGTAATTACAATACATAATACATAATACAAAAATAACAAGCCACAGTTACACAAACAATTCTCTCAACAATGATGAAGGAAAGACTTGATCCCTAATTCCCCTGATATTGTTTAAAAATACAATTTCACAGGTTTCAAAGAGGTGATGAGTAACAGCATTGTACAGGCATATGTTAACCACTGAAAACACAGTGTTCTATTTAGTGACAGTACTTACTACCACAAAATTACTGTTACACATCAAGTGGGGATTGGATAATGTTGTTGATCAATACCAGTGACTCAGCATGTACTTACTGGTGCTGTAATTTCTGGCTTATGAAATGTACTTTACAGCTCACTCTTTCATAACAAACATTCTGCCCTGTGGAATTTTAATACACAGCCAATCAAATTATACAGGTGACTTTATGATCACTAGTAAAGGTCACAAAACCCCTTAAAAGTCCAATGTATGCTAAATCACAGCAACTTTGAGACTGTGATTTACTGGCATTATTACTTGGACATTTTGGGTACTCCTGTTTCAAAGCTTGTTTTGGTGCTGTGCTTTTTTTCAGCCAACAAAAAAAACTTGAAGGTGGAGTTTAAACTTCAAGGAACAGAGATTAACAGATATGATCAGTATTTGTCTCTAGAACAATATGTCTTGGCATATAAAACCAATTATCTGATAGAACTATAAATAGACAATCTGATGATGGTGATCTCGTACTTTAAAGTACCATTTAAGGAATAATCAAACTATACCTATTGCAAAAGAAAACACCCTGGGCCATCTCACTTCCACCAGAGGCAGAAAAGGAAATGTTGTATAAGAATCAGGCTCCTCAGGAAATAATAACACATGCTAAGACAGAGATGGATGTGTGCAGTATTGTTTTCTAGTTTTGGTAAAGGAAGCAGAGGGAAATCCTGGGAGAAGGCATGGCTGCGCTGGCAGTACAGCAGGAAACAGAAACATTTCATTAAGTTGGATGTGACTAACTCAAGGTTAACATGAAAACAGCATGTCCACATTCTTGCCCAGATCATAAGGCTTATCTGCAGTCGTGCATACAGGTTTTAAGATCCCCTTTTATGTAATATACAATGAACTCTCCTTAAGCAGCAGACTGTGTAAAATAATGTGATTATTATGTTGACATTTTACTTGACATGGTCCATACACGGAGATGTGTAAGATTCTACCAATCAGAGTAAATGTGCCAGTCTGTGTTTTTTTTTCTCCAAAACTTCAATACACAGATGGGATTTATAATGATTAATTAATTTGGGAAAGCCATTACATAATATTATTTGGCCTTCTGTCATTTTAGAATTGCAAAATTGACAGGCTTCCCTGGATCTGTTTCATAAGATGTTTATTATTTCACTTCAGTGAAATTGAGATGTTTTTCATGTTGGGGAGGACTTTGTTTAAGCCTCATTGGCTTCTGTCCTCCTCTTTACATATCCTTTTAGTTCTATTATTGTTGGTCATCTACTATGGTGTCTTAATTGTGTAAACAAATAAACAATCTGAGACTGTGGTGTGGGTCTGTATTCATTCTTTTTGCTGCATCTTGTCCAAAAAGTATATACATGTTGCAGTAAACCTAATCCATGTGTATTGCTTAACAGCATGTTGAGCCATGGTAGTGTGGTGAGACCACACTGAGTAGACAGATAGTAGACAAAAACTAGTGATTATGATGAAATGGCTTCAAAAACTGCCACAAAAACTGATCCGCAGCTAGACTTTCATTTATGTTAGTATGCTGAATATCTGCTTTATATTGTCAGCTGAATGGGTGAAGTAAATGGAGGAAGATGTAAATTTATGCATTTAGAGACCTGTAGATAAATACACATGTAAGTCATAAGTGTAACCCATCAATCCTATTATTAAACCAAATTTTGTGACTTTGCCCATCTTTCCTTGAGACAGTACTGATTATTTTAGTATGTGAGGTATTCACGTCTCCGTTTGATTACATAAGAGGCAGTGAGAGATTTTGAGTATTTCAATAAACCCTAAAGGAAAATTAAGATCAAAGGTTTCTACTGGAGTGCAGCCTAAGGAATTCTTAACTTGGCAACATCATATAGTTTACAAAAATTTCATTTCATTCCTTTTTGTGGTACCATTAAGCTGCCACATGATGATTAACAAAGGTTTGGCTGGTGCTAAGTCTGTGAAATAAATTTGAATAATCCAAAGTATAAAATTATTTTATATCTTATTTTATATTGTGCTGAAGGAACCTGCTGCAGTGGAAAGAGCAGGGTTCATTGAAAATGTCGGGAATGTGGCTGCCGTAGATGACTGGATTTGTGTGGGCGATAGTCTCTGAGGGAGGTTTCCTGTTGTATCTCCTTAATATACAGTGACAGGTACCTTAAGTCACCCAACAAAGTTGCTGCTGTGATTCGGCACAGAAAATTATCAGAAGGAACAAAGAGGAATCAGGAAGGAAGGACATGACATGTGTTCTGTTGTATTGTTCTGTAAGGTAGATACAAATTTGGTCTGTCTTTATGTTGAAAACTTGAAGGCACAATATTTAATCCTAAATCCTACTGAAAAAGACATCTGTCATGCTTAAAATATTTTAGTGAAATAGGTATTTTGCTGAAGGCAAAAAGGTGAATGCCTGTATTCAGATTTTGTTCTTATTCAAGTGTCCATGTCAGTCTAATTACAAGCAATGCATAGGCTGGCCTGTGTATGAGTATGAATGTGAAATAATTTCAGGGTCCCATGCTTCTCCTTCGCCAAAGTGTTACATTTTCTATTGGATATTCTAAAATCCAAGATATAGCTTGCTCTTGCTAGTTTCTCCAAAGTTGTCTACCCCAGCTGGGAATGCTTGCAAACAATGGTTATCAAACATTACTCTTTTTAGACTCAGTTGATTTTGTTAGCTAATAATGAGAAACGGCCCTTTTGGTCAAAACCCTTCCATCTTCACACTGTTAACTTTTCAAGAAGCAAGAAAACAATACCTTTATACAGCTGGCCTATTTCTCTCAAATACTGTCCACAAATCTGTCAAAATCTGTGTTAGTGAGCACTTCTCCTTTGCTGAGATAATCCATACGGTGTCTGCCATCTGCCCTGTGCAGTTTGTGCAGAAATTCTTTGGTTATGCAAACAAATAGTTGCAGCAGCTGTCCGGGTGGCTGGTCTCGGACCATCTTGGAGGTAAAGATGCTGGATCTGGAGGTCCTCAGCTGGTGTGGTTACACGTGGTCTGAGGTTGTGAGGCCAGTTGGATGAACTGCCAAATTGCCTTTGGAAACTGCTTATAGTAGAGAAATGAACATTCAATTCACGGGCAACAGCTCTGGAGGACATTCCTGCAGTCAGCATGCCAATTGCACGCTCCCTCAAAACTTGCGACATCTGTGGCATTCTGCTGTGTGATGGAACTGCACATTTTCGAGTGGCCTTTTATTGTGGCCAGCCTAAGGAACACCCATGCAATACCCACGCTGTCTGATCAGCATATTGATACGCCACACCTGTGAGGTGGATGGATTATCTCGGCAAAGGAGAAGTGCTCACTAACACGAATTGTAAAAGATTTGTCAACAATATTTGAGAGAAAGACACCTTTTGAGTAAATAGAGAAAGTCTTAAATCTTTGAGTTCAGCTCAGTGTTGCGTTTATAATTTTGTTCAGTATATTTAATAGTTTAGAGTCTTATAAATCTTTATCATTCAAATTCTATGAAAGATATTTATGCTCTATGTTTTGTTTCCTTTCAGGATGGCTCAAGACAACGTAAAGAAAGAAAGAAGACTGTCTCATTCAGCAGCATGCCCACTGAGAAGAAAATCAGCAGTGCAAGTGATTGCATCAGCGCAATGGTGGATGGCTCTGAGCTGAAGAAAGTGAGATCCAATTCACGCATTTACCACCGCTACTTTCTCCTTGATGCCGACATGCAGTCTTTGAGATGGGAGCCTTCAAAGAAGGAATCAGAAAAGGCCAAAATTGATGTCAAATCCATCAAGGAGGTTCGGACAGGAAAAAATACAGACACTTTTAGAACTAATGGAACCTATGATCAGTTATCAGAGGACTGTGCTTTCTCAATCATCTTTGGGGAGAACTATGAGTCCCTGGACTTGGTGGCAAACACTGCAGATGTAGCCAACATATGGGTGACAGGGCTGAGGTACCTGATCTCCTATGGGAAACATACCTTGAATATGATAGAGAGCAGTCAGAACAACATGCGTGCATCTTGGCTAGGTGAACTTTTTGATGAGGCAGACGGTAACAACAGCAAACAAATAACAATATGTGCTGCTGTGCAGCTAGTCAAAAAGTTGAACCCCGGACTTAAAAATGTGAAAATAGAACTCAAATTCAAGGAGCTTCACAAAGCTAAGGACAAAGCAGGTTCTGATGTGACAAAAGAAGAGTTCATTGAGGTTTTTCACGACCTTTGCACCAGACCAGAAATTTATTTTCTCTTTGTTCAGTTCTCCAGTAACAAAGAATTTCTGGATACCAAGGACTTGATGATATTTCTGGAGGCAGAGCAGGGTATGGCACAAGTCAGTGAAGACACCAGCTTAGAGGTCATTCAGAAATATGAACCGTCCAAAGAGGGCCAGCTGAAGAGTTGGCTTTCTCTTGATGGGTTTACCAACTATCTTATGTCTCCAGAGTGCCATATATTTGACCCTGAACAAAAAACAGTATGCCAAGACATGAATCAGCCCTTGTCCCACTATTACATCAATGCATCCCACAACACATATCTGATAGAAGATCAGTTCAGAGGTCCCTCTGATGTGACTGGGTATATCCGTGCCCTCAAGATGGGCTGTCGCAGTGTAGAGCTGGATGTGTGGGATGGACCTGATAACGAACCTGTTATTTACACTGGCCACACGATGACGTCACAGATTGTTTTTCGCAGCGTCATTGATGTCATCAACAAGTATGCCTTTGTTGCATCCGATTTTCCACTGATGCTGTGTTTAGAAAACCATTGTTCATTAAAGCAACAAAGAGTCATGTTTCAACACCTAAAGAAGATCCTTGGAGATAAGATTCACCTAGATCATCCAAAACCTGAGGACTGCTATCTCCCCTCCCCCTCTGAACTGAAGGGAAAGATCCTGCTGAAGGGTAAGAAACTGAGCACGAACTGCACTGCTTCAGAAGGTGAGGTGACAGATGAGGACGAGGGGGCAGAGATGTCTCAAAGGATTGAGTCTGCGGAACAACAGACTACTGCACCCAAGAAATTCCAGCTGTCGAAGGACCTCTCAGATCTGGTGACCATGTGTAAGTCTGTTGAGTTCAAAGACTTCCCAACATCTTTCCATAGCCAGAAGCACTGGGAGCTCTGCTCTTTCAATGAGGTCTTTGCAAGTCGCTGTGCCAGTGACTTCCCAGGTGACTTTGTTAACTATAACAAGAAGTTCCTAGCGCGAGTTTACCCTAGCCCCATGCGGATTGACTCGAGCAACATGAATCCACAAGATTTCTGGAAGTGTGGTTGCCAGATTGTGGCAATGAACTACCAGACACCTGGCCTGATGATGGATTTAAACATCGGTTGGTTCCGTCAGAATGGGAACTGCGGCTATGTGCTGCGTCCAGCGATCATGAGGGAGCAGGTTTCATATTTTAGTGCAAACACTAAAGATTCAGTGCCTGGTGTGTCTCCACAGCTCTTACACATCAAGATCATTAGTGGACAAAACTTCCCAAAACCCAAAGGCTCAGGGGCCAAAGGAGACGTAGTAGACCCCTATGTGTATGTGGAAATACACGGCATTCCTGCTGACTGCGCTGAACAAAGGACTAAAACAGTCAGCCAGAATGGGGACAACCCTCTCTTTGATGAGAGCTTTGAGTTTCAGATAAATCTCCCCGAGCTTGCAATGGTGCGTTTTGTGGTGCTAGATGACGACTATATTGGTGATGAATTTATCGGCCAATATACAATCCCCTTTGAGTGTCTCCAGCCAGGATTTCGCCATGTACCACTGCAGTCTCTGACAGGAGAGGTTCTTCCACATACCTTATTGTTCGTTCATGTGGCTATAACCAATCGAAGAGGGGGCGGCAAACCACACAAAAGGGGACTGTCTGTGCGAAAGGGCAAGAGGAGTAGAGAGTATGCCAGCATGAGAGTGCTATTGATCAAGGCTTTGGATGATGTGTTCAAAACAGCCATACTGCCACTGAGGGAGGCAACAGACCTCAGAGAAAACATGCAGGTAAGACATTTAAATGAAACTCCCATCATGCTTATTGTGTTCACTAGTATCCTCATTCTCTGATGTGTGCACTACTAAGCCAACAATAACTTGAACTGTATATGGCAAATGCATTCCAGCATGTTTTTTCTGTGAAAGGGTAGACTGAAAAAAAATGTAACCCCAAGTCAAGTATAGATTATAACCAGATTTATTACAAAGACTCTTGAGCATCTAAAAAGGCTCCCAATATGGACAGAAACAGAAAACCACCAGACTGAATCAGATTTAATCAAATCCTCATGTGTTGCACAATAGTCAAAACCGTGAAACAAGTTGAGATGAGATTCCTGTTTAAATGGTAGATAACCATAACTTCTAATGTTAAAATTGGAGAAGGTTACAATGGGATGGAAGAGCTCACAATCTTGTTGGAATTGTGACATTTGTTATGATGTTAAATCACTGCAGCTACAACAGATGATGAACATGGCCTTTAGCAAGCTGTTAACTTGTTTGAATCAAAACATTTTGTTATTCCTCCCAATCCGGACAAATCCAGAGTCATCCTGAACCAGAGTCATCTTTTCTTATATTAAGATAGCTTTGTCACCACAGGGATCATGACCAATTTTGTCTTATTCATGTCAATATTTATGTCATATTTGTGGTCTTCAGTCTTCATTTGAAGGACATAGGACATTTCATGAGAAATGCTGTACTGGATGGTCAGAACACTGGTCTCATGTTGTGTTCCTTCAGGCATTGTATTAGGATTTATTTTGGCAGCCCTGTTTATATTGCAGTCATTGTGTGATAACAAGTCACTGGCCTTGAGACTATAACACATCGTGGCCGCCCTGTCACAGTTCCACCCTGTTGTTTATATATGGTTTAAATTTGGCCTTTCACAGGAAGGTTAGGATTTGTGAGCGTGTGTGTGTGTTTGTTCCATTTCCATGTATAACTGGTGTCAGTCCAAAAGGATTCAGTGTTTATGAGTAGCTAACAAGCGCCAAAATGAAAGTTCTCACAGGTAATTAGTAAGCTTCCAGCCACTTCCTCTTGGGTGCTACTCTGGGGTTGTGGTTATATATTTAAATCAGATCAATGCTCAGCTGTTATTTCTATCTTCTTTTGCAGAATGCCATTGTTTCCTTCAAAGAGCTGTGCGGCCTTTCAGCAGTGGCTAACCTGAAGCAGTGCATCTTGGCCCTTTCCCCTCGACTGACTGGACCTGACAACAGCCCCCTTCTGATGTTCAACCTCAATGACCAGTACCCTAATTTGGAGCCCCAAGGCCTGCTATCAGAGGTCATCAAGAAAGTCGTCACCACCTATGATATGGTGAGTAGTAGTCAGAAAGAAATGTTCACCATATCTGCACAGAAATAACATCTGGGAGCAAAAGTGATACAAGCAGATGAATCAGAAAAATTACCATAATTAAAACGCGAGAGGAAGAGAGACAAATCGCTGATCTGTGCGAGTAAAATATAAAAGTTCAGTTTAATCGGCTGATGTTTTTCTGATGTTCTTATGTGGGCAGCAGAGCACAGAGAGAAAAAAACTTTATTTCTCAACATATGAACTGTAGTTTAAGGGGGATATGGCTATCTGTGTATACATGTATCTATATCTGTCTGTTCATCCATCCATTAAAGAGCGAACCAAGCGAACTGACTTTGATTCCAATCAAATCAATACCACGCTTTGCTGGACTTAATGGGGACATGCAGAGATGGTTAGGTAACGGACTAGAGCTCTGTTAAGTAATAAAATCAATGTTCACAAGTTATGCAACATGCCATTGACGCAATTCCCAGACAATGCCATTATCCTTAACATATCCTGTTCTCTTACATTGATTCTCAGCACACTAGGAGCAAGTCAACTTTCTATTATTATTTCAGGCAGGAGAAAGAAATCCCCAGTAAAAATTCACTGGCAGAAATACAGCAACAAGTGCAACTACTTTGAATAATTTTGCATTCAGTAATTAGTTTGTTTTATCAGATGCATCTTTATCCTTTTGGCTGTAGCACTATGTCCCCAGAATATTTATTCAACACGGTAAGATTAGATTCCGTGTTTAGCATCACTGTCTGAGCCCAGCTGTTTTTGGTGTCCCACATTTACAGTGTGCATAGAGATAGAAAACCTTGTAATATTGCAAGGACACACATCATTTTAAGTTTGATACATTTGTACTATACTCTGACAGTCTGTGTGGCACTTTACACAAAGACGAGAGGTGTGCATACCTGTGTGACACACGTGTGAAGAACTGATAAATAAAATTACAGATTTAATTTATACTGTGACAGAAAAAATGGGTGTAGAAAGTGTGTGAAGGAACACCAAAACACAATTAAGTTTTATCTGCACCCAGCTATGTTAGTTTTATAGTACTGTTCATCCCCTGGGACTCAAAGATGATCATCTGAAAAGGGGGTGAAGCTGAAAAGACTCAGATGCAGACCGATTAAGGTGACCCCTCTGCTCTATTTGGACTCAGGAGTGGAGGGCTAGTTAATTGACCCTGATGGAAAGAGCGGCAGGAAATTTGAGTTGGAAGAAAGAAAAGATAAAATGATGGGTGTTTGGGGACCAAAATTGAATAAATTAAGAGCACGGGCTTAAGTAGTGTGAAGCCAGAGGAGGCGGAGCAGGAAGTTGCACAGCTGAAGGGGCACTGACAAGTACAGGCACAAATGAAACGATAAGAGCCAAACTTAAAGAATTGTAAATAATGTATAGAACAGTACAATTAGAAATTCAGATACTGGGAGTATCCAGGCTGTCTTCCTATTTAGCAAAAATAGAATCTGGATCTCAATCCTTGCCCATTTGTGTGCTGAGAAAAAGGTGGAGAGACTCGGCATGATGCCAGATTATGGCCTCAGATAATATGGTCTGATTTCTGTTTTTGTTCTAAACAGATGAACTAAGGGCGCTGCCTGTAAACCGACATGAGTTAGGACAGCGCAGTCTCTCAAACACTGAACTGAAGGGGAAAACAAAGCCCATATGTTAGTCTCTCTTTTGTCTAACAGTAACCCAATCTTATTTTTTCTATGGCACTTGAATATATTAGAACTATATATAAATGTTAGTTCCATGTACTATTATTCATCTGTATATCCTGCATATCTCCAATAGTTTTGTATTCATAATTAAGGTCTGTTGTGTTTGGGTATTATGTAGTATTTCCCTTTAGTTTTTACTAGTTATATGCATACAAAGCTAACATTACCATAAAAATGTATGTGCACGTGTCTTTTGTTAAATGTGGGTTTGTTATAATAATAATATTAATAACAACAATAATAATAATAATAATAGAACTAAACATACTACTTACCAGAGGTAGTCTTTAGTGTGAAAATGAGTCCACCCACTTACCTTATAATGTGCCTTTAAATACATTTGAGATGCTGTGTCTGCCACCAAGACAGCAATTTCTTCTCCCATCGGGGAAGTAATCACAGTGTGCGCGACAGCTCTAAGTGCAGCAGCTGCAGCTGCGGAGTGACACAAACAGCCACAATCACTTAATCATGACTGCTTGTAGCATAACATGGTTGTGTTCGGAAACTGTAACTGTCCCCCGTACCGTACACGTTAATATCAGGGGATGTACTGCATGTAATCATGCTAAAAAGGCTGCATGTTTGTCTTTAGAAAATCCCTCACTTGGCCATGCCCTCACTAATTCTTTCAAAAAAATTGTGATGATGTAATGCAGGTTTGAAACTTGTGGAGGTAATTGTATGAACTTACTACAAGGAAATGTCATAGCACTAAAACAAGTAGTATCAGAATTCACGACTATCCAGTGAGACTTGGTTGGATAAACAAATTTCCCTACCACAATGCTCTTAAAGGATAAGCCTGGTCTTGATCTGTATTTTTCTTACTGTCAATAAGTTTAATGAAATGACCCAAACCAACGATGTGTTAGGCTTACTCTCAATAATTTGAGTTCTTGACTTAGTTTGTGGCACTTACGCCTGAAGTCTATTGGTTCCTACTAATGACATAAATCTTCAAAAATGGGTTACAAATAAATACAGTAGTTTCACTTTTCAAATAGGGTCAGTAATTTCTTAACAGCTGTGCACTGTACTCTTAAACAGTTCCTCCAACAGGATTAACCAGTGCATGTATGGGGGGATTAATACATATTTGGTGTTCTTGTCAGTATTGCCAGCAGCAGGATAGTGTATGTGGGATTGACTCAAAATAAACTACAGTTCCCATCTTCATAGTAATGAAGGGTCATTTATGTGTTTTTAATAGTTTATGGACAACTATGGAGCACTGTGGCAAAGGGGCTTTGGATGTACACGCAATAAAATAGAATATCACCAGACTAAAACTAAATTGTCTGCAGGAGGAATATGAGGATGCTACTAATTAAAATCTTTGTATTTCTGAAAGAAGCTTCCTTTTTTCACATTTCCCCACCATGCTGTTCCTGACACCTCCCTCCCCCTCTCCCCTTTCTCTTCTCTCGCTGGCTGGCCACAGAGCTGGCATGCTCCAGGGATCGATCTCAGGGAGATGATGTTGGTCACTATTGTTTTTCACAGAGTGGCTTTGTTACACTGGGCTCTAATGAAAGGCTGTTTTTCTTTTCTGCCTTTCTGTCTTGGCAGGTGAGCAGGGCAGCCTGTCTTTGTGACATGACCTTGCAGTGCACTTAAGTCACTTAGGGAGTGTACAAGTCAATTACAACACAAAGACCTCCATACCCAACAAGCACTAATTGAAATAAAAAACATAACATTTGAGTAGTGCATAGCCTCTCCTTCAGATCAAACAATTAAACTATTACTAATAGTAGTAATAGATAGTTGGAGAGAAAAATCCAGATGGTCTGTCAGGCACCCTGTTCACTCCGTGTTTATTTACCTCTATCTGTGACAGCCTACAGCATCACTAACCTCTGTGCAGCCATCCTTTCCTGTAAGGAAACCAAAGGCTTTTTTTAGGGTGGTGTAGGGAAGGTGTGGTGTTAGCATGTTTTATGTAAATAGATTCCCAAAGTCTGTCTTAACGACCACCACGAGAGTTTTAACAGTCTGCCGGTCAGCATAGTTTTTGCACTCAATTAAGGCTGATCATAACACCACAGGAGATAAACATAGCATCATTCACAGCTGCAATTTCACAGATAACCCAGTAGTGGTCTGCTTCAAAGTGACTCATGTTTACGTTTTACTCTCATCATAATGATATGAATTTGATTATGTGCCTTTTCTTTTTTTAGAGATTCTTTCAAAACCGAGCATTGTGATTGACAGTAATATTTTTCTCCGGAAGGCAAAAAGATACTGTTCTTGTTGGAAGAAAACAAGTATGGTAACTTTTAATAAACACCCTAATTGCTTGTGCCTCCTTCCCTCTAATTTTGGCTTTAAAAAGCGCAGTTCAGCGACCACGCCCACTGATGTGCCTCTTAATAACAGGTTGTTTTTGTGAGCCCTCCCTGGATAGAAACACCCGGCCACCAGACTGAGAGTGCACTCTGCTTTATTGTGGGATGCTAGTTTTGCTGATGTGGAAAATTAAGGCAAATATGAACAGTATGTCTCCTTTCAGGTGATCCAGACCAGCAAGACTCTGCTGGAGAACTTTGAGGGGATGTATGAGAAAATTCTACAAACCCAAAAAGCAGGTAAGACATCGGTCAGATGGCAGAGGAGAACAACCATGAAAGGCTGTTTCCTGACACCATTAGACAGCTCCTGAATGTTTCGTATGTCCCCGCCATCTCTTTGAAGCCACACAACGCCGATCACTCAATTTGAGTAGAGCTGATTATACTTTGGTTATTTCCATAAGTGGAATTGCCATTTGAGACATGTTCCAAGTATCCGATCCAGTCACCATTTCCCTTTGAAAAGCTATGGTTCAGACAGAGGTGTTTAATTCACACCAGTCACAGCCTCTGTGCTATATTCTAATTACAAGGTTCAGAGAGATGAGAATGAACTGGAGCAAGACTACATCAAAGCTAACAGATGGCAGTCCATCTAGTTGTCCACCAGACACGCTATACTATTTTGACCTTCATGTGTGTATTTTATTTGTTTACGATGTTATTGCTTTCTTAGCCTAGTGTAACATAATGACTTAATGTGGCCAGGGGTAAAGTAACTCCACTTAGCCTTTCTGGGAAGCAAAGTTTGATTGGCAGCTCATGAGTGAAGGCTCTGCTGGATTCAAGAATATGCACGCAGACACAGTCTCAAGAGAGACAATGCTGGCATAGTATGCTGTCGAAAGGATGGACAGCTCTCTTCCGTCTTGTTTTTTTTCTTTCTCTGTTCTCCTGTTAAATTCAATCTTCATTCTCAGGGGTCTGCATTAGGGTTGGTCCGATAGACGATGCACCCCCCACCCCCCACCAGCAAAAAAACAACTAAAATTTTCATATCATACCACCATGTGAAAGCAGGTTTTAATGACCACGAACTAATTATTGTTTTTAAGTATGCGTTGCACCTGCATCGGAATTCCCTACCCTAGCTGCACGTCGGTTTATTAATTACGCAGCCGATCGAACAACTGAAACTAACATCTGCACCCTGTGTGTTCACTGCTGCTTTACCTGGTCCACGCGTAAAATATCCACCGCGTCTTGTAACCCAAGTTAATAGTCTACAAGACCCCCCCTGTTAATTTTGACATTAATGTTCCATCTAAATAGCATTGAAGGTTAATTTATGATTGCCTGATGGAAGCGCTAAGTGAGATTAGGAGGGAGGAAAGACGGACCATCATTACCACGGCTCAGCTTTATTGGTTCTTTAGATGGATGATTTGCAAAATATTCCATTTCTATTGTCTTGGTACATCAGAGAGGGGGACTGTCTTTGAGCGAATGCAGATCAAAGGCTTTGTGGTGGGGGTTTTTTGTTTGTATTTTTCCTTGGTGTTTTCAGTTGGACCACCTTCCAGCCCTTAACAATTACCAGTCAGTGGGTTACTGGCACCAGAAAGATCCCCCCTTCAAAGCTTCAGCTCACATCTGTGCAGCTGGAAATTCTATTTTGGCCGTTACTGGAAAATGGATACTGTGAAATGAGTGAGTTGAGTCTGCATTATTTAGTCATTATGGCCCTGTTCATCTGTACAGCCTTCGTCAGCATCTTCTATTTTTTGAGACCACCTGCTGTTTTGCCAGCAGTGAACAGATCTACAGTATGAAATGTACAAAATGTACAGATAATATTACACACCATTTGATTCGTAGAGCAAGTGTGCATTGTGAACTGTTGTGCTGCCTGAATTCTACTTGATGCTCATCCTTCGTGGGACTTATTTATGTCATTGCTTAGAAATAATTGTACAAAAGTACAGGTCTACCAGACATTACTGGATTGTCTACTTCATTACTTACCTATCTTTACAAAATGGCATTTCATCATGAGTAAGTTTCAGGGCAGATTAATCTATAACAGGATCTGCTTTAGCTATCCTTTTTGCAGAGTTTTGGCCCTTTGATAAATGCCTCGTCAGTGTGAATCATTCTTTTATATGACACAATAGTCAAATGAATAATAGCAGTGAAAACGCTCAAGTAGACAAAACCTTTTTCAAAAGCTTCCACAGAAGCTCTGCGGGGCTTTTGGTCTCAAAGCGCCATAATATATGATTACCTAAAATCAGCTGGAGAAGATTCAACAGCCAACAATTGCAAACTAGGACACAACAGATGGCAAACTGATGAACTTGAACATTGACTTATTTTCCATCCTGAACTGACAATTTTATCCCAGCGGTGTGTGTGTGTGTGTGTGTGTGTGTGTGTGTGGTTTCGTGTACTTGTCTGTTGTGTTGAAACTGGGTCAGTACAAACCCAATTCCCCCTTTACAGCAAGCGGAACATTCTAGCAGCAACAGCTATTAAAGTTGTGAATAATCCATCACATCAGCTCAGACAGGGCCCACTTTCCCCAAAGAAAAAAACACCCACACAAAGGCAGTGTCAGAACAGTCAGGTGTTTGCAGCTCAAACATGGATGTCACTTCCCTCACCGACACTCACTTAGGTTCCATTTAGCATTCAGGACAGCTGGATGGCTGAACCTGCTGCAGACTAACAAGACCATAAGATGTTCTTAAATGCCAAGTGAAAAATGATTGTGTTCTGCCGAGCAGACTGAAGCTGCAGTGACATTTTTCAGAATGCAAAGCAAAGAGCAACTGTTTGTGTTACACAAATTAAAACACCAAGGTCATTCAGTATGTAGGGTGGTGTGTTACTATACTTTGTTTTGTTAAGGTTATCTTTTTTTATATCAAGGATTTCTTTACTTACTTATATATAAGTTACTTATATATATAATTTGATAATCTCTTAATTGGTTTTTAGTCATTTTTGCCAAACAAAAGATGCCAAACATTCACTGGTTCCAGCTCAAATGTGATGGTTTCCTGGTTTTCAGTGACATATGTGATGTAAATATATGGGCTTTGGACTGTTGGTCAGACAAAACAAGTAATATGAAGAGGTCACCTTGGCCTCCGAAGAAATTGTGATGGGTGTTTTGTTCATATTTGTTTGACATTTCATAGAAGACGTGATTAGTTAATTGTAACAATAACCAGCAGATTCATTGATCATGAAAATAATTGCTAAGAAGACCCCATAGTTTATTATTATCAATCAATCATGGTTTACAGCTTTTCCTCCCTCTTGCTCTTTTGGTGATATTCTCTGGTATGAGTCGATACAATTAAAACAATTATCAATAACCTTCCAGTAGATAAATGGCACTCCATACTGTAGTTGTTTCAAGCTGTGATACATGCGAGGATCAGCCTTTAATGTACAGTTGCCATCTTGCAGCATTACCTCACAGAGATCATAGCCTGAAATGCCTTGCTGAGATTGAGCTTCCCCCTTTCTTGCCTGCCAGACTCCATAAAATGTTGCTAAGCAACCTCCAGAGTGTGTGTGTGAGTGTGTGTGAGAGAGAGAGAGAGAGAGAGATAGAGGAAGCTGTACACCTTCATCACAGTCATGGTTCACGTGCACGGCAGCAACTCAGCAGCTCTGTATTTCCAGAAAAATGACCTGAAATCGAAGAGAAATATTAAATGTCTGTCAGTAAATCCTGTCAGTTGTTTGAGGTCATATTCACGCCTGAGATTTGGTGGCAGACTGGTAGCCTCGCCTGAGAGGCTCTAAAACAGCTCAACCCCACATCTATTATGGCGATTTCTTACGAAGGGGGGTCTCTCTCACGTGCACGCCACGTTTCCATGGCAACAGCTGCAACAGGGGACCCTCGCTGATATCAAGAGCTACAAGCAGAAATGTGCATGTTCACTGTAGGAATTTCCATTGCAGAAGGGTGTTACGCAGTTATGGGCTTTGTACGTAGCAGGAACTCCATCTCCCTTTGGTTTATTTATCTCGCAGGCTGTGGTTGCCTGTTGCTACAGTGTCAGTGCTGCACTGTAAAGCCAGCTCGACATTAAACATGTCCTTACCCAGACTCAGTCACGCAAAGGGAAAGAAAGGGAGAGGAAGAGAGGAGGTGGGAAAGCTCCTGAGGACACAAATCCCTCCTCTGTTCGATGTCTTGATGCTAATCCACAGTGAAAGAACGTCATGTCTGTCTGCCTACACTGCATCTCTCCTCTGCCTCTCTCTGTTTCCGGGCTGCTTTCTTTTCCCTCTCATCCTGCCTCACTGCTTCCTTCCACTCTGCTTTTTGTTTTTCTGTCTGCCTTTCAGTTGTGCCTTTTTGCTTTCCCTTTACTAATTCAGTTTTTTTTTCCTATTCCTGTCCCTTGACATCCCATCAACATATCGCTGGGATGTGCCACAGCGCTTTACCCTCCACTAACTTCTAACCCCAGGATACAGATTTCAGATTTATGACAGTGAAGCAAGGTGTTGCTGAAGGAGTGCACACATGCTCAACAAACTGTTCCCAGTTGACAGGGACAACACCATGAAAATTAATGCAACACTGTGTGGATTGTTAAAAACCAACAGTATGTATCTTACTTTATTAGCTATCAAATACTGACTTTCTATATAGAAATAAATTTGGTCACACTTCCCTCTATCACAATAATGCTTGTCTTTTTTTTTCCAGTCACATCTGCTATCCACAAAATAGTGAGAAATCTTAACATTGTGATGGCATGTGCTTGTGCAGTTTCCCTTCTTAAAATCTAAAACCCAACCCTCGGTCTCCTTAATTTGTTCTGAAATTCGCACCAGAGAGAGAGGAATCCTCCTCCACAACCAGAGACTGTACTTCCACTTACTCAACCCTTCTGCTGCAGGAGGAGACTGTGAAATGTTGACAGTACATGCCAGTGTCTTTGCTCTAATGTATTTCCTCACAGTGACAACAGGCTTAGCACCCAGTCACATCTCCCAGACTCCAGTCACCTCACAGCTGGTTGCTCTTCTGTCTCACAAAACCACCATGAATTCCAACCATAGAGAGTGACTTCACACTCGTTCTCATCTGTCTTTCTCTCTCAGCGATGGAATTTCATGTGAATCTCCATGACTTGGCCGTGAAGGAAGGGTTGAAGGGCAGGAAGCTGCACAAGGCGGTGGAGAGCTTCACATGGAACATCACAATACTGAAGGTGAGATTGTCATTCACAGCAGGCAGTACGTGACCACTGTGTAACTCCATGCAATAAATAGTTTTCAGAAATTGTCATGTGCAGTTGCCACATTGCACACAGTAATATGTAATGTGTTACTTCCCACATGCTTGCAAAATAAATAAAAACATGTCCAGTAGCTGCTGTAGGAATCTTACTATGCGTCATTCCAGTTGTGAACTCTCCTGTTAAGGCTGGACATTTCCAAGCACAGTTGTCATGGGGAGCACAAACACCAATTAATGAGTCCTTATCTCAGTTGACATCTCCTAGGAATCTTTCTGTATCCTAGTAAGCAAAGTTGGTTAATGAAAATAAAACCAAGTGATGCCTCTCTGGTGTTTAATAGACAAGCTTAGTAATTCTCAGACAACACCGGAGTTCCCCACCCCCGCAGCCTCCGATGCTGGCAAGCAGTGCACTGGCTGTAACCAGGCTGTAACTCGGGACAGACTGGGCCTTTTTCCGACTTGTGAGTTTGGTCTGAAATGCCATTTCACAGATAATTCCTGAGCTGACTGGTGGCTGTGTGTGTGTTTCTGGCACCGATCGGCACAATACGCTTGCCTTACTACACATGTCTTTCTGTTGTGCATTTTTCTTGTCTGGCAAAGTGGCGGATGGCCCAAAGATTTCAATCGCCACCACCATATTACCCGCAGGTGGCGGGTGCTACTTTCATTCTCTGTGTGAAACTAAAGGTTCTGTAGAGTCAGCTTCTGTCAAACTTAAGGCCATTACACAACAAGTCAAGGTAACATGCAAAGTTGATGCTGCGTCTGCAGACTGCTTTCCTCTTGGGTGTCACGTGACCAGAGTGTAATCGCAGCCTTTGCGATTAGAAAATCAATTTTTTTCACATCACAATATCGCAAATGCAATTAATCATACAGCCCTAATTAGTAGTGTGCAGGGGGCTTCTGTGCTCTTAATTCCTTTAAACCAATGATGTTCTTAGACAGGTGCACAGAAAATAAGCAACTTTTAAACTAGTGTGATTACTGCTACTAGCTGTCATTTCTCTCTCCAGGGTCTGAAGTTAACTTTTTTTACTGCCTGCCACTGTGGCACACACGTGTTTTTTGGGGGGGGGTTTTGCTTTGTTTGTGTGCTAAATAACATTCAGCGGGTATCATTTAATGTAAATTATGTTGTTATGAAATGTTTAATATACACTGAACAAAATTATAAATGCAACACTGTTTTTGCCCACATTCATCATGAGCTGACCTCAAAGATCTAAGACTTTCTCTATGTACACAAAAGGCCTATTTCTCTCAAATGTTGTTCACAAATCTGTGTTAGTGAGCACTTCTCCTTCGTCGAGATAATCCATCCATCTCACAGGTGTGGCATATCAAGATGCTGAGCAGACAGCATGGGTATTGCACAGGTGTGTCTTTGGCTGGCCACAATAAAAGGTCACTCAAAAATGTGCAGTTCCATCACACAGCACAATTCCACAGATGTCGCAAGTTTTGAGGGAGCGTGCAATTGGCAAATTGCAACTTCGCACAGCCATTGAAGAGGAGTGGACCAACATTCCACAGGCCACGCAGTGCAACACATCTCCTTTACATAGATTTGATTGGGTTGTTGATTGTGGCCTGTGGAATGTTGGTCCACTCCTCTTCAATGGCTGTGCGAAGTTGCAATTTGCCAATTGCACGCTCCCTCAAAACTTGCGACATCAGTGGAATTGTGCTGTGTGATGGAACTGCACATTTTCGAGTGGCCTTTTATTGTGGCCAGCCTAAGGCACACCTGTACAATACCCATGCTGTCTGATTAGCATACTGATATGCCACACCTGTGAGGTGGATGGATTATCTCGGCAAAGGAGAAGTGCTCACTAACACACATTTTGACAGATTTTATTTTGTGAACAAGATTTGGCCTTTTGTGTACATAGAGGAAGGCTTATATCTTTGAGGTCAGCTCATGATGAATGGGGGCAAAAGCATTGCATTTATAATTTTGTTCAGTGTATTTACACAATCACTCCACCTTACTTAATCACTAACAACCTGGGATTTCAAAGGTACCTCAGACAAGACACACAAAGAACACAAGAACTTGAAGTTCACCAAAGAGTAAAATACAGTCAGTGCTGAAAACAAAACCCACATTTCAACTATCAATGAATGGGTCCTTATCTCAACAAAAAGCGCCTCTTCTGGATCCTCGCAAACAAACTAAAAACTAATTTTGAGTTTTAATACAAAAGTCGGCCAAAAAAAGTCACTAGTCTACCTATTTTAAGCCTCTCTGTGCTTCATGTATTTTCTACACTTCGTGTATTTTTCTCACCTTTTCAAACTCCACTGACACAACAAGTAGTAATTATTGATGAATGACCTTCTGCATATTTATCTGTGTTATTTGCACGTTGTTAATTAAGATTACCTTACAAGTAGCTCAGCTATAATTTATATTTTTTCCCCAGTTGAGTTGAGTCAGTCAAGTTTGTGTTAATTCACTGCGCGTGCTGCATTTCCTGTCCATGTTTAATCTGGGGCTCTACTTATATGGATCTTATCGTTGGCAGGCTTACTATTTAAAAAGAGAGATTTTTAAAAGTACATCAAGTTATCGACTGGAGGTCTTTAAGATTTAAAAATGACCTCCATCCAACAAAAAGTACAAAAAGTTTCCAGAAGCCATTTTCATACATGGAGAACACAACATTTCTGGCCTCATTTAACTGTCAAAGTGACGGCTTCTTGTCATCCAGACATGGGTATCCATTGCGTAAATGTTCCTTATGGCTTTATGCAGACATGACCTTTATGGAAATGGCAACAATCCTTGCACGATATTCAGCACCTGGTGCGCAAGAAAGAACAGATCTGCCGAGGTGGAAAGAAACTATTTCACGGATGTGTCAGTGATTGTTATTGAAATTATTTTGCCATCATCCTTAATCAATGACTATTGTCAGTGGGAGGTATGCTCTACCTGCCGTAATAAATCCCTGATAAATTCTCATAAATTTATATTTTCTGCTACCTATTTTCTAATGTCAGAAAGTGCATAAGAATAGAATGACAAGATGTTAGGCCTCACTCCAAAGCATGCTTTATGTGAAATATTTTGCTTGATTTTCATAATTTCATTAATGAAGTTGCCACAAATGAAAAGCAAAAACATGGAAAGAAAGTGATGGTCAGATAATTATTATGGTGGAAGGAGGTTAAATTTTTTTTAGATATCATGAGAAGAATCTCCTCAGCACCTTAGCATTGGCTCATTTAGGATGTTTTGTTTATTAAACAACTATATTTTCTTTGTGCATAAGAGGGATACATGATTCATTATTATTGCTTAAGATATGCATTTAAGCCCTCTTTTTGTATTTAACCTTGTGCCACCTGACCTTTTTTGCATTAATGTGAAGACTAGGCGATTCGTCAACGTAGTCGATTACGTAAATATGTCGAATCGCATTACGTGCGTCGAACACTGAATCCGATGTTAGCAGGGATTCCCCCGGACAAGCTCCAGCTACAAGACCGCGCCTTCGGCCGTCTAAAGTCTGGGAGTATTCTAGACAGACACTCAGCAACGTGCTGCTCCTGAGCAACTGCTGTCCACGAATACGTGAAACAGCATGAACACGTGAAGCGAAAGTATCCCGGAGCACAGATGGCAGCGCTGCAAATCGTGTTTACTTTCCGTCTCTACACAAGCACGGCACATTATCACCACACGTAGACACTTATAATAATATATTTTAAGTAGTATTTCTTCATTGCCTTCATGTTAAAAGTAATTTCTACCCACTGCTGCATTTAAGATATGCTACTATTATTGTCATTATTCTAATATTCTTCTTCAGGATGATTGAATAAAATATTGATTAGATATGTTTTTGATATTTATTTTGGATAGATTGTTATGTTAATCGAGTAATAGGCAACTTTTGTTTCTTTAGAATTCACAAAATTAGTCGTTAGATTAATTGACTAATCAAAGAAAAAATCATTAATCATCTTGAAAAATAATTATGTACAGCACTACTGACGAAATTTTAAAACAAACTTGTGCCTTAACTTGTTACTGGGTCTGATCAAGTTCGAATTCTGTTGTGACTTTTATTTAAAAGTTAATAAGTTATTATATTGACATGAGACAAAGATGTAAAACTGCCATTACATTTACATATCGAGGTGCGATTGTGCTAACACTTGTCAATATTCCCTCAGGGTCAGGCAGACCTACTGAAGCACGCCAGGAGTGAAGTCCAGGAAAACCTCAAGCAGATCCACTATGCTGCGCTCACCTGTAACCTGAGTAAAGGCGGACCAGTGGGTAGCTCCTCCGGCTCAGAGACGAGGAACAGACGCAGCCTCGAGGCCATTCCTGAGAAGGCCATTCCTGAGAAGGCCACTGGGGAGGAGGGGCTCACTGATGAAGACAATTAAAGACCCCCCAATCCTGCCCTGGTGCTCTCCTGGCACCCCACATTCAGACCTCTACTCTGTTCCTGCCTCTTGAGCTCAAAACCCAAAGCTCTCTCTCTTTCCATCCTTAAGCACTCTATACCCTGGCATCATCGCTCTACATACACACCAGTGTTTTTCCACATTCCATCATGTACATTCCTGTATCCCAAGCACATCTGTAATTTCTAACTTCTGCCTCGTAATTGTCAATACATTGCCAAAACTACTCCAAGACACAAATCCTACCCAAGTTAAGATCACACAAAGTTTAGAGAAGTGTGGAAAATTACTGTCATTTATTCTAAGTCTTAAAATGTTTAGGAGCTGCACTGAAAGCTGGAAAAGCATGACACATTTTAAACATTTGCTACACATCTGAAGCTGCCTAGCTGTTTTGTGCACACATTATATAAATACCAAATCTTAACATCCAGCAAAAATATAACTTTGGGGGATTATCAGTGCCAGACATAAATCCTAATTTTCCCTAGCATAAAAGTCAAACCTCTTAATCTACAGTCCTAATGCATTACTTTGTCGCCTTGACTCTTATTTCCTTGAAGAGCCGAGTGAACTACCAGCCAAGTGACCATTTAAGACATTGACCTACTGTTCAGAAACATTGTACTTCTACTCAGCAGACCAGGATGTTGCCTGAAAAGAAAGAGTCCTTGGATTGTTGTGACAGATTTCTTAAAAGCACAATTTTTTTGGAGTTTTGGATGTAACGGGACAGAAGGAGCGAAAAAGGGGAAGGAACAAAAGTGTCATGAGAGTAAAGAGCTGTTTACAATACTGAAATTGTTCATCATCTTGTCTGCCAAAATAGTATAATATACTATGTGTATATATGGAGTTTCCTGTTACCTTTTTTTCTGCAGAGTGCATCATTTTATTATTGTATACTTGGAGATTTAAGATTTATTTTATAAAAGATATATGAACATGTCTGTGGGAAAACAAAACATTTTATTTGTATGTAGATATCTGATAACGAGGGATGTCACTAGAAAAAGTGACCTCAAGAGTTTTCCCGGCGGAGAGCTCCTACATGTCGAGACAGAAGGACTAATAGAATGTATTCATACTGTTTGTGGTGCAAACAACAGCAAAGGCTCAAAAATCACAACCAGCAACTGAATGAGAAAGGAAAGGAACCATGACTGGGTGTTGATAACATGCACTCAAAACAGTTTTCACACATTTTCATATTTCAGCATTTCATTTGGCCTTTATTTTGAGGGCACTGAAAATAAGTCACTTGGAGTTTTGAGCCAATTCAAATGTATGCTCTGAATTTTCTACCAATGTAAAAACTAATTTCGCAGTTACTTTTAGAAGTCTACAACCCATAAAGTGTGCCACATTTGTCTTTTCCAGGTGTGCTACCAACCAATTCCACAGTTGTTTAAAACACCCCAATGAGAAATCAGCCCTGAACAGTTTAAAAACAAATTCCCTTGTTTACTTGTAATCATTTGGTACAGTTATCTTACTGTGCAGAATGATTGAATACCTCTCACAGGAAACTAGCGTGATGTGTCTGGACTGCACACTGAATGGGAGGTCATGTAGAAAACAAAGACAGTGGTGTTATTTTAATCATGCAGTTTAAGCTATTACTTGTTTGGAAGATGTTTCTCTGTTCAGTACTAAAGAGCTTCGCCATGTTTTATCTTGCAGTGCACTGTTAAATGGAAATTGCAGATCACCCACTTACAGTGGTGTGTAAAAGTATTTGCCCCCTTCCTGATTTCTTTTTTTTTTTTTGCATGTTTGTCACAATGACATGTTTCAGATAAAACAAATTGAATTATTAGACAAAGATAACACAAGTAAACACAAAATGCAGTTTTTAAATGAATGTTTTTAAAATTAAGGTAAAAAAATCCAAACCTACATGGCCCTGTGTTGGGGAAAAAGTGATAGCACCCCCGGTTAAAACATAAATCAACTCTGGTTTATCACATCTTTGGAAAGCTGAGTTCAATTTCTCTAGCCACACCCAGACCTGATTACTGCCACACCTGTTCTCAGTCAAGAAATCACTTAAATAGGACCTGCCTGACAAAGTGAAGTAGACCAAAAGATCCTCAAAAGCTAGACATCATGCTGTGATCCAAATAAATTCAGGAACAAATGTGAAATAGAGTAATTGACATTTATCAGTCTGGAAAAGGTTATAAATCAATTTCTAAAGCTTTGGGACTCCAGCGATCAACAGTGAAAGCCATTATCCACAAATGGCAAAAACATGGAACAGTGGTGAACCTTCTCAAGAGTGGCCGGCCGACCAAAATTACCCCAAGAGCGCAGCAATGACTCATCTAAGAGATCACAAAAAAACCCACAACATCCAAAGAACTGCAGGCTTCACTTCAGTTAAGGTCAGTGTTTAACTCCACCATAAGAAAGAGACTGGGCAAAAATGGCCTACATGGTAGAGTTCCAGGTTGAAAACCACTGCTGAGCAAAAAGAACAAAGGCTTGTTTCAGTTTTGCCACAAAACATGTTGATGATCCCCAAGACTTTTAGGAAAATACTCTGGACTGACGAGACACAAGTTGAACTCTTTGGAAGGTGTGTGTCCCAATACATCTGGTGTAAAAGTAACAGCATTTCAGAAAAGGAACATCATACCAACATTAAAATATAGTGGTGGTGGTAGTGTGATGGTCTGGGTCTGTTTTTGCTGCTTCAGGACCTGGAAGACTTGCTGTGGTAAATGGAACCATGAATTCTGCTGTCTACCAAAAAATCATGGAGAATGTCCAGCCATCTGTTCGTGACCTCAAGCTGAAGCGCACTTGGGTTCTGCAGCAGGACAATGATCTAAAACACACCAGCAAGTCCACCTCTGAATGGCTTAAGAAAAACCAAATGAAGACTTTGGAGTGGCTTAGTCAAAGTCCTGACCTGAATCCCACGGAGATGTTGTGGCGTGACCTTAAAAAAGCGGTTAAGGCTCAAACCCTCCAATGTGGATGAATTACAACAGTTCTGCAAGTTGAGTGGGCCAAAATTCCTCCACAGCGCTGTAAAACACTCATTGCCTGTTATCGCAAAAAGCTTGATTGCTGTTGTTGCTGCTAAGGGTGGCTCAACCATTAGGTTTAGGGGGCATTCACTTTTTCCACAAAGGGCCATGTAGGTTTGGATTTTCTCCCCCCCCCCCCCCCCCCCCTTAAAAATAAAAACCTTAATTTGAAAACTGCATTTTGTTTACTTGTTATCGTTGTCTAATATTTCAATTTGTTCTGAAACATTTCAGTGTAACAAACAGGCAAAAACTAAATCAGGAAGGGGGGCAACACTTTCACACCACTGTACAGTGTTTTGATATCTTGTCTGGGGAACCAATGTGCAGCACATATTGGCCAGCCCTAGTGGTACCGGTCTACCAGACAAATCAAATGCATTACAACACTTTGCTAACCCTTTTGTAAGAATTTAAACTCAGGTCTGGTGAGATGGATAATGGTTTCATAACCATTCCTCGCGACAAAGTATTTCATCCAAAATTGTCCTGTGATTTTAATAGTGCCGCTGTTACTAACTACAATCTGCTATATCAGTTGACAGGTAGGGTTTCTTTTTAAATCTCTGTACCCATTTGCTGCTTCAATAGTTCTCTTGCTTGCTATTCAATTAACAGTCCAAATGTCTTATTTCAATATTAAGTTATCGTTGCTAGAAGTTATATATTCTTTCTACTGGTTGGACAGAGGATATATGAACATGTGAAAGATCAGTATGACATGTTTGCCATCTTTACATGATGTACACTCAGTTTCCACTTTATTAGGTACACTGAACTAAAGTTACACCAGTTTAGTATGAGCACCATGCAGTACAGGCTGCATAAAGGTTATGTTTGTTGAATCTGCCTTTAAAGAAACGTTTTCAATATTATGGTCACTTTAAACGGTGTAGTTTGTAGTACTGTCGAGTTGTATTGAATTCTAAAGAGAAGTGTTTCTAATATTGTCCATGTTTATCAATGAACGTAGGCTAAATATTTAAAACACAAATACAATTCTACAGCCTCCAAACTGACCATAAAGTTGAATCAACGCCTCTCTAACACAGTCTTGACAAACACTGACCATCATAACCTTCATGAAAGTAGAATTGACTGTAGAGCTGTTGTATGAGACAGCGTTCTTTTTAGCCAGGTGTGCCAAATGAACGGGCATCTAACAATTGAGTGTATGTGGGCTTGCAAAATTAGGCTCAGTGATTTGGAAGATTTTTCTGGCCAGTATTACAATTGGCCTGTTTATTTTTGGGGTTTTTTTGTGCCCCAACTAATATTGATTGACAACATTAATTTAAACTATTGATCAACAGCAAAAAATCAATAATTTGATGTTCCAAGCATACAGTAAATGTCCTCTTGACACAAGGCATTTGGACTGTTGAATGAAGCCCAAGCATTGGTGTGGTTTTTTTTTTTAAATGTTCATCTGGAGCTCTGTTATCACCCCCCACCCCCCTTCTGCAGCTCACAATGTTGTGCTCTTTGGTCTTACATATTGTCCACTCCTGCAGATCGCACGACCCACAACAAGACATAAGCGGTCTTCAAAATTTCAGTGCCATGCCGGTCGGCATATTTATAATTCTTGTTGAAAGGATGGATGGGGGAAAGCATTTCAACTGTATTCCAGTCTCATCTCTTTATCTGTCAAGTCCAAAACAACAACAAAAAACTCAAAATAAACAATGTTGGATAGATTTGTGTCAATTATTTGTTCTAAAAACGGCATGAACAAGTAATGTTCTGTTTTTACACCCTGTATTGACAAAACAGATTTTTCCCAGATCACACCAGCAGCTTTCTCCAGTACTCGACAAGCTCTTTCCTAAACAACTGTTACGTCTGTGAAATCCCATCATCTGCTCTCTTACTGCCCAGTGGTTGGCACTCTCCTCCCTGCAGCAACCCCGGTCGATGCTCCACTCGGCCTCGACTCTTCAGCTGTCCTCCCCTCAGGCTGCACCGTGTTGGACTGACCTTCCCTCTGTAGTCACCACTGCTGTTATTCCCCCATTGTAGGCAGCTATGAAAAGTAATTCACATCCGAGCATCTCACTGAATCACTTTAGTGTCCTTTCCCCTTGCTCTAACTGAAAGAATAAAAAAAATCACCCTTGGGTAAAATGTAACTCTTGATTGAAAAGGAATATTTAATCAGTTTACTTTCCTTCACTGTGTTTTTGACAGTATTCAGACCTGAATATTGGTCTCTAATCCAGAAATTAAAACTCAGTCTCCTGCTCTTATTCCACTCTCAATTAAGTGCCCCAAATGCTAAACGTTAGCCACAGTTAGTGTGTATATGCGGTAGTTATGTTTGGTGCAAGGCCACATGAGTGTGTGATTATTCATTTTTAAAGGACAGACACACCTAGTCCTGACTCTCCCAGCTGTTTTTTTTTCAAAGCTGGAGCAGTGCGTGCATCAGTATTGATTGGTGGAGCAGAGAGAGCCGGGGGAAATACAGCTTCAGATGGATCTTCCTCCAGCACACACACACACACACGTATGGACGCAGAGGTAACCAACAAAAGCAGGCACCGTTTTATGAACACGCCAGCTGTGTAGTTACTGATGAGCACACATAAACTTTATCTGTATAGTGAGTCACAAGTGCTTTGCACAGGGTAAATTATGCTTAGGGTCACTGACTGCAAACGCTCAATCATCATTGACTTTAATCCAGACCTTGGAATAGTCAAGAGATTTGTCTGTGTATCCAAGATTATGAATTTGTACATAAAAAAAAAACTATAAAATATAAGCTGACTGACCCAGTTTTTTTTTCTTTAAAAGTAATCTTAAGTCTTCAAATTCCACCCCTTTTTTTAAATAAATCAGCTGCCAGCCATTGTTGATTTAAAAAAAAAAATGGTAGTTAACCTTTATGACCTCTCTTATCCAGAGTTAAAAGCCTACCTGTTGTATCACCGACCGATAAGTTGTGCAAACATAATATGCATACAAGACTGTTCCTTCTGCTCCATTGCTTCAACAGACAGTTCAGCAATCCGTTAAATGCGTGTAAAGAACATGTAAACTGCTCAGAATGGCCCTCTAATGCACGCTGTAAAGAGCTTTTTACAAGCCTTAGTGTGTCATAGAATGTTGATTTAGTAAAATGGATTTTAGTAGGCATAAGAGAGTTCCAATTGAGGCTTTCTGTTTGCACCTTTCAAGCCATAGATTGCTCTTTTTGAGAATCCTTAAACTTAAACTGTTATGTAATGCCAATGACTCTGAACTTTCTGAACAATGAGTCGACAGATAATTTCTTGCAGCTTTAAACTTGTTTTATCCAAACACATCTTCTTGAGGAAATGGCAAAAGTGCAGGTTTAGTTTGCTGACTTTAAGTGAGACGTATTCTTTGTTGAACAGCTACATCACCTGAAATGTGACAATGTAATAGCAGTTGTTCTGATGTCAAAATATACACCTCAATGAGTCAAACTTTGGTATTCTAGATTGTAGGAAAGCAGACAGCATTATCACTATTTAAAGGATTGAGTTCTTAAATGGCAGAAGAGCCTAAATAAGAACCTTTGTGGAGAGTTTTGACAGTAAACATTGTCTGGAATGAATCATCCGCTCTCACAGAAGGCAGACGAGACCTCCTCGCCGCTGCAAGAACTCACAATGAATTCCCAAAAGTAATCAACAGCAGCACAGAGACGATGAATGGACGGACGGATGGATGGGTCTGGCCGCGAGCGCTCAACTTAAATCATCTGCGTGTTTACGGCAGAGCGGTGGCACTTAGACGAGCTGTGCGGGAAATGTTTGGACAATGTGTAAAACAAAAAGGCTGTGCAGCACATGCTCTCAGTGAAGATGTTTTCTGTTTAGATCAAGTAGATGTCACAGTATCCAGTGGTAGCACCGCCGCTGGCAGAACACCGCTGCCCTTGTCACCGCTGCCGGTGTTGGTGGAGTTCTCTGCAGCCAAACAGGGTTGACATAACGTGACAGCCTCCAGATACCTTTTACAGATGAGGTTCCAAATGCAGTAAAGGTCAGTGAATGCATCACACTCAACCTCCACCCCTTCCTCTCTCTAACACCCTGTTTCTTCTCTCTTCTTCACTTCTCTTGTTGTTCCTTCAGTTTATTGAGCCATCCTCCTTCCCTTCCATGTACTGTTCAGTAGCAGTGCTATCACTGACCTGTGAGACAGGTCCTGTGGGCTATACAGTCAACATAATGGAAAATGACAGGACAGCTACATATCCCCATTGTAAAAGGTTCGGACAGCTTTGGAGTGTTTATTGTCTTTATTCAACTGGAATAAACTGTATATTAGTGTAATATTGTTAAGAAACATTATCTACAGTGAGTGAGACTTGGGTTCAGCAGGAAATAATTTTCTTGATTCATTGATTTGTCATTTTGTCTATTAAAATGTCAGAAAATAGTGAAAAATTATTATAGTCAAAATTTCTTGTTTTATCCAACCATCAGCCCAAATCCAACAACATCCAGTCTACTATTATATCTGAGATCTGACATAAAAGCAGCAAATCCTCACATATAAGACGTTGAAATCAGAGAATGTTTGGTAGTTTTGCTTGAAAAAGTAAAATCATTTGGCCTCGATATTGAAATAAAACATTTCAAAAATCCAAAGTAAATAAGAGGTTTGGTTGGCACTAGTGGGGACACTTCCCAAACATCAACACTGTTTCACAATGAACTGTACTAATGATTTAGTTACAAAGAAAAGGTCAACAGGATTGTTTATATCCAATGATGCATTTCTTTATTGATTTCTTTATTGAACTAAGATGAGCATTCTCCTTTAAACAAACCTCAGTGCACCCTGGTCCTCACATTGACTAGATTTTAGTGCTGATCAGAGGAACTGACAACTATTTTGAACATTCATCATTTATATAATTTGTTTTTTGACATTTAATAAAGGAAAAAAATCCTTGTGGTATAGTGGATTAACATTTATTCATTTAGCTGACGCTTTTATCCAAAGCGACTTATAATTGCCATATGTGAGAGGTCGCACGCCTCTGAAGCAACTAGGGTTTAAGTGCCTTGCTCAGGGACACAATGGTGGGTGGGTCACAGTGGGGGATTGAACCTGGGTCGCTGACACCAAAGGCAGGCATCTTATCCATTGCGCCATCACCACCCCTGTGTTACGTCTCTGTTCAGTGTTCTCTGCAAATACAGGAAGTAAAACGCAAGGTTTCATGGGTATTAAGAGACAGATGCAGAGTGATATGCTGCATGTCCTGGTTTGCAAAGTCAAGCATGACCCAAAGAACAGAGTGTAAACTGCAGTGTGGACTGATGTCTCACCACTACCCCTAGTGGTAGCTATACATGTAGGTTTTTATTTACAGACTTCAGTAGACTTTTGTATCACAGTACAAAAAGGTAATGGAAATTTGTTAGTGGTGTTTAAACAATTACATATGAAAGAGTCAACAGCAAAACTTCTTTTCCAGAAACCCATTAACAAAGAATAATCCACAGACCTCACTTTAAACATGCATCTGAACTATTTTCTCAAAAGGTAAGAAGTTGTGAAAACTCCACAGGACTGTGGATTATACAGCGAAAGCAGGACATTGTTTCTGGAAAGAAATGTTTTTTTTTAAACGATGTGTTTTCAATGCTTTGAGACCCACACAAATAATCCATTCACCTTCACTGTTTGTTTAGATGGCAACAAAAGTGTCACAGACATTTGCAAACTAAACCAAAGCTATACTATACCACTCTAAGTGGAAAGATGTTTGATTTGGGTGAAATTATCCATGAAAGAAAGGCAAGATGATTTAAGAGTGCTTTAGAGGTATTTTATGCTTAGCTGAGGGTAAAGTCACATTCTTCAAATTTGTTTCGATTGTTTTAACCCACTGTAAACCACAAAAACTAATGAAAGCCGATATACTGAAAATGGTCCGTCCATCTTCCATCTGAGTAAACATCACTTAAAGTGAGACTACTTCAGAAGGATCGTTTAAATAATCAATATTCTTCATCAACCTCTACTGACTACCATAAACACTTTGCAACATCATCAATGGATTCGTCTTTCGCAAGTCTCTGCAACAGCCCTCACTGGTCAACAGCATGACTGTCGACATAAACAGCAACATCATTTTTTCCAACCAAGCGAACAGGGACCAAACAGAAAGACCTGATGAGGATTATAATTATTTTAACATTTATAATAATAATAATAATATTAATAATAATTAATAATAATGATGCAGCTTTGTCGTGTAGTTATAAATGTCTTGTGATTCCTGGCTGTCCCGTCGAGCTACAAATATAATTTGGGGGGAGGTTTTAAAATAAAATACAGATCCGCACTATCAATCTACTTTCATAGGACATCACACCAACCTGAGAATCACTGCATACTTCAGCTACATCTGTACTTGTTTCTGTGCCCTTTGTTCAAGAATCTCTTCGCCTCAAGGCATGCAGGCCTGGTGTACATCAACAACACACAGTCTGTTACCTTTTCGTCCCTCATATCTTTCTTTGTGAATATTTCATGCTCTGCCAGTCACTAAACTGCCTGTCCCAGAGCGCCTTATTTCCCCTTTGTGGGAAGCAAGTGGATGCTTTTCAGCAGCACTTAGTGTCTTTGTCGCAGATTGTGCACTGCCGTGATCATGACCGAGTTATGAGCCTCACTGCACAGTTTAAGGAAAGACTGAGGAGGCATA